CTTGCAAATGCAATTTCTCAAGTTTTCTTAAATAGTCACCCATCTCAAAAGGTATGGTACCTACAATATATTGAATGATTGGAGTTAATGTCTAGCTGTAAACTTTTATTTTGATATGTTTATAAATATACGATTTTTTTAACACGTGGTTTAAGAATTTATTCATAATGATTTTTATTAGAAATTATAAAAGAATACAACGCATTAATAATATTAAATGCTATTAATTTTAATAAAAAAATTTATTTTTAGTTTATTCTATAATTTTAAACATGCAATGAAGAAACCGATAATTAGAATTAACAAAGAAGGAAGGGAAGAGATAAAAACCTGTAAGAAAGTTTGCTCCCAAAAATAAGCGTGTCAACGAAGTGCAATTGCTAATAGACTTTGGAATAATTCCCACAACTTTGTTATTTAATATAGAAATTTGTTGTAGGGAGTGAGACCGTTGACACATTTCTTCTGGAAGTTGACCACTAAATATGTTGTTCCGAAGATTTATTAATCTCAAAGAGGATATGTTAAAAAGCGACGGTGGAAGTGGGCCTGTTATAAATATTCAAAGACAGTAAATTTTGTATATATCAATAGAAAGAAAAATACTGAAACGTGCCCAATTCATCATAGTATTTATAAATATTTTGAATCAAATTTGTAAATAATATAATAATATTCTAAAAACCTGTTCATAAAACTGTTATATCAGTAGGAATATTTACACGTTCCAAAAAGATATTAGAATTAATACATCAAATTAAGTGGGCATGATGTGGTTCGATTTGGAGTCAACCCATTCATATCTTATATAGTGCAACTGCATTGTCCCACTCTGCTTGTTTCATGTGTACCGTGTCAGACATCATAACTATTCATAAATTTTCACCTATCATTTCAAACATTTTATTTTTGGGTGCTGACCATCTTCACCTTTTAAAAGAATTGATATTTAATATGGGATCAGAGTACAGGCAAGATAGGCTTGTGCTTGGTTTACATATTTCAAACTCAAATGATTCATGTACAATGACAACTATAAAGTGCAATTTCCTAGTCCATCTTTGTATTGAAAATTATAAACTGTTTAATCTTGGTTTCATCATTTTTGTGACAAAAAGTTTAAAGAAAGGTAAGCTCCCACTTTGCGGTTAGGATATATTAGTGTATGGGTACTTTGAAAAGGACCTAATAATAAAGTACCACTTAGTAATCAAGATTTTTTTATATGCACTCTAATGAACAAACTTAGAGTAGTTTTATCTTAAGAAAAAAAAATGAAGGCTAAAATTTAGTTGGTGTGTGAATTGAGTTAAGAAACAAGATACTAGCACACCCAATAAATAGACAAAATATTACGAACTGTACCTGTTAGATTGTTGTTACTAAAATCTAACTCCTCAAGCATAGATAATACATTCTAGCACACATTGTCTATCTTTTCATGTGAAAGGGATTGTGTAAAAGTTAATGTAATAGTTTGCTACGCAAATGAATAACCTTTCGGGGTTAAAAAATGATGATTCCGCATTTCCAAGAGTGTATACACCTTGGAAACAAAAAGCGAAGTAATAAAAGAAGAGTGAAATAATAAATGCAATGAATGATATGATGAAAATAAGAATTTGAGTATAAAAAAATCAAAATTATTTATGCGTAATAATAGATGTGTAAAAGTGTGCAATAGGAATTTTGGCACGAGACCATTGTTAACCTTTAAAGATATAAGAATAAAACTGTGCAATCACTTACCTGGTGCAATATAACCAAGTGTTGCTAAAGTGTTAGTGTGTAATTGAGATTGTCCTTCCAAGAGTTTAGCAATGCCAAAGTCACAAACATGAGCTACCATATTTTCGTCCAGCAAGACATTGCTTGGCTTTAAGTCGCAATGTACCACAGGTTTTGAGTTACCATGATGGAGATACTCTAAGGCAGATGCAACATCAATTGCTATATCCAACCTCTGTATGAAACCTAGGAAGTTGCTATGAGAATACAACCATTTCTCTAGGTTCCCATTTGGCACAAATTCCATTACCAGGGCTTTGAAATCAATAGTATTAGAACAAGAAGTAATGACTTTGACTAGATTACGATGACGAAGATTGCGCATTGCTTCACATTCTACATGAAAACTCCTTGATGCTTCTTGCACATCCAAATTGAATACTTTAATTGCAATCACCACTCCATTAGAAAGTTCACCTTTGTACACAGAACCAAAACTCCCTCTTCCAAGAAGATTGCTCTCATGAAATTTTTGTGTTGCCTCCACAAGTTCATAGTACGAAATTCGATTTTGAAATGGAAATAATGGTAAGTCCATATTTGTTGATCCTTCATTGTTCACTCTTCTGTGTATAAGGAAAATTATGCAACCAACGAAAATGCTAGATGCAACTATGGGTATAATCAATTTCAGTACAAGCTTTTTGCCTTTACTATTATGTTTAACCCCAGTACTAGGACATGGTTGCACTTTTAGTTCAGGTCTCCCACAAAGTGCACCATTCATCATAAATGATTGAGATGTGAAATTTACAAATCTACCACCAGAAGGAATTTCACCTTGTAGTCTATTATAAGACAAGTTGATAAATTTGAGATAAAGAAGCTTCTCCATTGATTTGGGGATGTTGCCTGATAAAAGATTGTGGGAAAGGTCCAAAACTTCCAAGCTTAGCATATTCCCGACTGAATCAGGAATTGGCCCTTGTAACATATTATTAGCTAATGAGAGGTTCATTAGCTTTTGCATGCCACCAATTTCACCAGGAAGCTTTCCTGAAAGATGGTTGTTAGATATATCAAGTTTTATCACAGCACTCATCCCATCTATTTCGATTGGCAAAGACCCACCAAAATTATTAAAGGATAAATTCACCTCCAAGATATTAGTTAGGCTCCAGAGAGAAAGAGGTATTGTAGAGTTCAACTTATTGGAGTCCAGGTAAAGATTTCTTAAAGAACCAAGACTCCCCATGCATCCTGGCACTAGCCCAAAAATTTGATTTTTGCTTAGACGCCAATCATACAAATTTATTAATTGACAAATTTGACTTGGGATTGAGCCGTTTAGTTTGTTGTCTGAAAGATCCAATCGTTGAAGCGATAGCAAAGCACCAATTGTAATAGGAAGCTGTCCACTAAGTTGGTTCTCATTCAAGTTTATGTCATACAAGTTCTTCAAATTGCCAATCTGCGAGGGAATTCTACCCTTAATATTACAACTCCAGGCATCGAAAATTTGAAGAGAATTTGATAGGTTTCCAATTGAATTTGGAAGAGTCCCATTAAGAGGATTCAGTGACAATAAAATTTTCTTCAATTGTCTACACTTTGTTAACGAAGTGAGGAAATTAATTTCTGGAGAAGCTGGATCACTAGTCAACTTGTTTCCTGTCAATTTAAGGAACTGGAGGTTTCTTAAATTCCCAACTGAGTCAGGTATAACTCCCGAAAATGAATTGTTGACAAGCACTAGTTGAAGAAGCATTGAAGCATTGAAAAGGCTCTTTGGAATTTCTCCACTAAGATTATTGGCTGACACGTATAAAAATTTGAGGTTGGATAGGCTATGATGCCCATAAATTGGAAGATTTCCTGAGAGTTGGTTATTTGACAATGACAAGCTTTGCAACCTTGAGATGTTGAAAATATTTGTAGGAATAGCTCCTCTTAATTTATTACCTTGCAAATGCAATTTCTCAAGTTTTCTTAAGTAGTCACCCATCTCAAAAGGTATGGTACCTACAATATATTGAATGATTGGAGTTAATGTCTAGCTGTAAACTTTTATTTTGATATGTTTATAAATATACGATTTTTTTAACACGTGGTTTAAGAATTTATTCATAATGATTTTTATTAGAAATTATAAAAGAATACAACGCATTAATAATATTAAATGCTATTAATTTTAATAAAAAAATTTATTTTTAGTTTATTCTATAATTTTAAACATGCAATGAAGAAACCGATAATTAGAATTAACAAAGAAGGAAGGGAAGAGATAAAAACCTGTAAGAAAGTTTGCTCCCAAAAATAAGCGTGTCAACGAAGTGCAATTGCTAATAGACTTTGGAATAATTCCCACAACTTTGTTATTTAATATAGAAATTTGTTGTAGGGAGTGAGACCGTTGACACATTTCTTCTGGAAGTTGACCACTAAATATGTTGTTCCGAAGATTTATTAATCTCAAAGAGGATATGTTAAAAAGCGACGGTGGAAGTGGGCCTGTTATAAATATTCAATGACAGTAAATTTTGTATATATCAACTGAAACGTGCCCAATTCATCACAGTATTTATAAATATTTTGAATCAACTTTGTAAATAATATAATAATATTCTAAAAACCTGTTCATAAAACTGTTATATCAGTAGGAATATTTACACGTTCCAAAAAGTTATTAGAATTAATACATCAAATTAAGTGGGCATGATGTGGTTCGATTTGGAGTCAACCCATTCATATCTTATATAGTGCAACTGCATTGTCCCACTCTGCTTGTTTCATGTGGACCGTGTCAGACATCATAACTATTCATAAATTTTCACCTATCATCTCAAACATTTTATTTTTGGGTGATGACCATCTTCACCTTTTAAAAGAATTGATATTTAATATGGGATCAGAGTACAGGCAAGATAGGCTTGTGCTTGGTTTACATATTTCAAACTCAAAATGATTCATGTACAATGACAACTATAAAGTGCAATTTCCTAGTCCATTTTTGTATTGAAAATTATAAACTATTTAATCTTGGTTTCATCATTTTTGTGACAAAAAGTTTAAAGAAAGGTAAGTTCCCACTTTGCGGGTAGGATATATTAGTGTATGGGTACTTTTAAAAGGACCTAATAATAAAGTACCACTTAGTAATCAAGATTTTTTTATATGCACTCTAATGAACAAACTTAGAGTAGTTTTATCTTAAGAAAAAAAATGAAGGCTAAAATTTAGTTGGTGTGTGAATTGAGTTAAGAAACAAGATACTAGCACACCCAATAAATAGACAAAATATTACGAACTGTACCTGTTAGATTGTTGTTACTAAAATCTAACTCCTCAAGCATAGATAATCTCCCGATATCATTAGGTAGATGACCATAAAATCTGTTGCTGATCATCTTCAGATATTTGAGCTCTTTACATTGATGCAAACTTGATGGAATTTGACTATAAATTGCATTTCCAGAGAGGTCAAGCTCTTCAAGCATTGGAAGTCCATGACACATATCCGATGGCAAAGAACCAGATAGGTTATTATAAAATAATTGAATCTCTTGAAGGGTAGGCACATTGAATAAGGACGATGGTATCGAACCATAAAGTTTATTTTTGCTCACATTTATACTTCTTAGTTGTCGTAGGTCACCAACTTCTTGAGGGATGCTTCCTATCTTATTCGAATAAAAAAATGTAAGATTCATTTGCCTACAATTTTTTTCTTGTAATCACGTTTTCGAGAATTTATAACCAAATACAATAGTATATAAAAAGATTAACTTTTATCTGTAATTCTTAGCAAATCTTTAGAAAAGTTATGAGCACATTAATCTATAAGAAATATTTACGTAGACACAATTTGTGGAAGATTAAGTATATATAAATGAAGAAAATTAATATAAAAGTATAACAATTTTTTTTTATAAATTAAAAACAACTTATTTCCTCAAGTTTTAAATAAGTTAAATATAAATAACTTTTGTAATATATATATATATGTATAGAGGATTAAGATCTATTGATACTAAGTGTATTTACACAAAATGCCAACTCTTACAAATCAATAATTTAACGGTTGAAAAATTATCAGTTACTTAACCAACGTGTAAAAAAATATAACTTTTTAACTGTTAAATTATTAATTTGTATGATTAAAATTTAGAAGAGTTACACCTAGTGTTAATAGATTATATCCCATATATATATATATATATATATATATAGTTTATATTTTTATTTAATTTTTTATTCTTACAAGTATTTGAGAAAAAATTTATTCCAACCTAGACATAGTGAATATTCACGGCAGCAAAATGAATTTTATCTTGCAGACTGACTTCATCTAGTATCAATCTAATATCGAAGAAAGACTTGCAATTGACAATAATTTATGTAGAAAGTTTGGGTGAGGTCAATAGTTGCCTTTAGTGAACAACAAAGAAGGCCCCAAAAGAAGGAGGAGAAAACATCAATAACATATCTAAAACAAAATAAAAAACAACCAAATCAGAAACAAAGTATGTTTGACGACACGAAATAGTAAAAAGTGAGTTACAAAAGAGTAATAAGGCTTATATAGCAAACTAATTTTCTAACTATTATTGTAATTAATTTTAAGTTTTAACAACAAGAATAATAATAATAAAATTTATTTACCTGATAAATAATTATATGAGAAATCAAGCTCTTGCAACGTGGAGATGTTGAAGATTGAAGAAGGGATGTCACCGGATAGCTGATTGTGTGCCAAATCCAAAACTGTCAAATTATGAAGCCTTCCAAGCTCAGGTGGAATGTTCCCATCTACGAAATTAAAGCTCAAATCCAAAGTCTCCAACTCCAACAACTTAGATAGGGATTTGGGAATTGAACCCGAAAAGCTGTTATTACAAAGACTCAAATGGTGGAGTTTAGATAACTCCCCCACCCAGGTTGGGAATTGACCTCCAAATTGGTTAGTGCACAAGTTGACCACCTTCAATCTAGGTAACAAGGCCAACTCTCTTGGTAGAGTCCCATGAAACTCATTGTTGCGAAGATCAAGATGAACGAGAAAAGTTAAGTTTCCTAATTGGGGTGGAAGGGAACCACTTAAATTCATGCTTGTTAGAGTTAGGCTCGTGACCCTTCCATAGTTGGTATCACAAGTGACCCCAAACCAATTGCACACAGAGGATTTAGTAGACCAATTGCTGGCCAATATGTGTTGAGGATCCAAAGTGATATAAGATTTGAAGGCCAACAGTGCAGATTGGTCTATCGTATAATTGGTGTTGCTTATCTCCGTGGAGGCAATGAAATGGAGGAAAGACAAGACTAAGGCAAAACTGAAGCAAATCTTCTCCATGACTATGCGTAAGTTGAGTTATCCTAGGAACAAAACAAGGGGTGCATATATATATACACGTTGAATACCCCAATTTTGTTTAAAAATTCTTAAGTTTTATATTTTAAAGAAATTCTGAATTTATTTTTTATGAAAGGGAATAAAAACAAAATGTTTTATGAAAATTAGTTTTTTTTAATAACAAAAAGGGAAAAATTCAGATTTGACTCTAAAATAGGAATGGAAACATTGCATGAATTAAAAAATTATAAGCAAAGTCTTTTAACATGAAAATGGAATTTGAATAAGATATTTGACTTTTTCCTAATTTTAAGAGCATAAAAAACAAAGAGAGGCATCAAATGGGAGGCTGGGAAAATTTAGAGAAGAAGGGATGTTGCTGAAAAATAGTAGAGGAGATAGAAAGTGGGAAAAAAAAGTCAAGCAAAGATAAGATTTCAATAATTTCAAGTAAGTTTTATTATACATTCTATAATTTATTATATTTTATTTTATTTGACATATTCATATTTCGAATGAGCATTTCATATATCAAGTCAATCTCAAAATGTCCAAATTTTTTTTAAAAAAATTACAAACTACCACTGCTGGCCGCCATAAACCGCCACCGGCCACTATGAAAGATCTTTCCTTTTTCACCATTCTTTCTCTTCTCTTCTCTAAACCACACCACCTTCAATCACCCAAAATTTACCTCCTTTTTCCACCCATCTTTCTTTTTTTCTAAATCACCACCTTTAAGCCCCTAGCTCCACCACCTCACTACCCATCATTTTTCCTCTTTCTCAATCCATTATTATCTTAAGTATAAAACCTACTATGGAAGCTCTTACTCTACCCTTTCTCTTTTCTTTCCTTCTCTCTCACATTGATAACTACTAGGCAAGTGCACCGAATCATTTAAGTAATAACTATGGTAAATGGGTATCATCCAACAAGGATTGACTTAAAAAATAGTACTTCACTAATCAAATTTCTATTTAGACAATATCACCTATTTGGATTGAAGAAAGCTCTAAAATTATAATTAAAGCATAACAAATATTTATAACAAAATAAATATTGACTTTAACAAGGGTGATCTTAAGATTCAAAACATTAGAGATTAGGATGGTCTGAACTTTTTCTTTATCCTTGTTTAATTTCTAAAACACTTGAATTGAAAATCTTAGATTAATGAAAGGATATTAAGTGAATGGACCCCAATTTCTTAGTGAGTCAATTCTCCTACTTGTGATAAAATATGACAATTCCTTGACTATATTTCAACACAAATATAGATTAAGCATTAAATCAATCCACAGGTCACACAAAATTCAAAAAATATTCTTAAATCTTGAAATTCATGTAGTTAATCATTTGAGCTAATTTATACCCAATTTTTCCAAATTATGTAGGAACCCTAATCCAATCACGAATAACAACTCATAATCTTTGCATATAAAAACGAAAGATGAACAATCAATCCAAGAAATCTGATATCAAAATATTATAAATTCAATCTCAATACATCCATTTCAGACCTAATCCTTTTTCCTAGCTATGGAGTTTAGCAACTCACTCTATGAAGAAAAAAGAAAGAAAAGCGCAGAAAATTTCATAAAGAACCAAGAATTGAAAAGATGAATCTTCAATGTCTCATTTTTCTCTTGTTCCCAAGTTGTTCCTCTAGCTCTAGAGCTTCTTCCCCACTGTTTTCTCTTGAGTTCTTCCTTCTTCTTGAATGCTAAAACTTGCTTCTTTTCTTCTATTTACGTGAAAATTCAATTGACAGCATACTATAGGCACCTAGATGTTGCGAATTAGGCGCCTAAGCTATAGGTCATGTGAGAGCAAAATAAAATTAGTAAACTTCAAGCAAGCGGTGGAAGTTTAGCACCTGAGCGCTCCTAAATCCAACAAATTGTTAAGAAAATGCAATAACATAAACAACTAATAAAAACAAAAAAAAAACTTCTCAAAAGAAATTTTTAAAGGATTTTGTATGTCTTTATACTCTTAAATCTCAACAAATTAATGGAACATCACCCCCTTAAACCTAAGATGTTGCTTGCCCTCAAGCAATAGAAAAGTTAAAAGAACAATTATGCACCTAACCAATATTTTCAAATAAGAATTGTGTATCTTATATGTATTCTCAAAACAACTTCTCAATATTGGTTAAAAAATAAGCACAAAGATCAAATAATATCAGGCAATCACCACTTGCACTCCTTATGACCAAACCAAAAATGCATAAAACCATGGATTAGTTTCAAATCATAAAATTCAGATTAAGTTATGCAAATACTCAAGAATTACTCAAACTTAGTTCATATGTTTCATCTTTATCTTCATTAATGTCTTTTAAAGCTTGTAATGTAAAGCCAAAGGTTAAGGTTAAGAAAGAAGGGAAAAGAAAAATTTACACTAGGTTAAGTACTTAAAGCATACATTACAGTTCTAACTAATATTAATAACAAGGAAAAGAAAGTAGTGCCATAATTCTTTATTTGTATATATATATTTTTTCATATGCTTTGCATTTCTTTTATTTTACTTTAACATAGCATGTAATGCACCACTTATTAAAGAACTCAACAAAAATTTATTATATGTGGAATACTTTTTTTCCATGGCTTAAAGAAAGGTAGGATAAAAGAAAGCTAAAACAAAGGGAAGGCCTGTTATCAATGTTTTTTCAACTTCAAAAGGAATCTATGGGTATACATTAGCAGGTTGGCTTGAAAGGCTCAAATGGTCCAAAGAATGTCCTAATCATTTCACCAAGATTCACTACCCTAGGATTTTGCCTCAACAGAGAATCACACATTTTCCAAGATAAGAGTCAATCCAAGAATATCACATAATCTTTCTCTAAAAAAGTAATTTGATCCATCGCCAAGAAAATGCACATCTTAGATCAAAGCTATAATAAGCACGATAGATTATAGTATGATCCATTCAAAACATTGCGCTCATAATACTTCCAGTTCATAAAAAAATCTAGTCAAATAATTGAGCGCTCAACACATATCTTAACAAGAATTGTTACAACTATATAATAAAAAAAAACTTTAAAAAAAAAAAGATACCATTGACATAAATAACATTAGACATAAACAAAATATGAACTAAACCTATTTAAGAAATAAACTAAAAGCAACAAGAAACTAAAACAATAAAATAAACAGAAATAGAAAACTTTCCCATTTCTCCTCAACTCAATCTTCATCGACATCTTTTTCTTCTTCTTATCCAACCTCTTGCTCATGCTCAGTTTCAATTGGCCTTAAAAGATCCTCATGTAGTAATAATGGTTCCTTAAGTTCATCCAGTCCCATTTCTTACTCAATAGTTATTCATCTTACCATTACTTCTAATCCTTGGACAACACGAATGAGATATTGATTTCGACGAATGCTTAACCTATGATAGTTCTCTAATTGCTCTAACCTTTATGCAGTGGTAAGAAACAAATTGGCCCACTAGAAGTAGGCTATGTTTAAGTTTGTGGTCTCTGAATCTTTTGGGCTATAGTATCTATAGTAATTGGTTGCTTCAATAAGACTGAAATATCTCTTTCAATATTAACTCTTGCTCACCTGCACAATTATGTAATTAAATGTGGATATTCCAGACAACCAGATGATGCTTAAGCCATTTCATGTATCTTTAAAGCAATTCTCACATTAATTTATGCACCTCTGATTATACAATGAATGAGGATGGCTTGTTCCATGTACACTTTTGAGTGACTTAGCTTAGTGGTAAGTCTGAATTGAACAAATGTGTACCAAGCTCAAGGAGCTGAGGTTAAATCATCTTTCCTTAGACATAAAGATTTTCTATATGCATCCAATCCCTATGTTGTGCCTTCCTTACATAGATCACTTAATACATAAGCACATCTTTGTTCATTTTTCATCCTATGCTCATAACTACAAAAATGTGGGTATTGATATCCTATGCTATTCTGAAGGATGATACTGCATTTGAAACTTTAAAGTAACTTGCACAGGGTCTAAACTTTGATGTGATATGTTAGAGTGGATACGATATTAATAATTTTTGCTTTTATACTAAGTGTCAAGATAGTAAGAGTGCAGTGCAAAATAGTGATGTTATGATAGATGCTGAGTCACTACACTTCTCCAATTCAAAAGATGAATCCCCTGTATTGGTTTCCCTTTCTTATTTTGGGGTGATTGAACAAATTTGGGAGATTGATTATAATAAATTTAGAGTACCTGTTTTCAAATGTAATTGGGTTAACAATAATATTGGGACTTACATTGATGAATTCAATTTTACAATGATCAACCTAAACTTATGGGCTTATAAGGATGATTCTTTTATCATGACAAGTCAAGTTAGGCAAGTTTTTTATGTTACTGATCCTGCTAACAGCAATTGGTCAGTAGTGCTTCAAAGCAAACCTATGTCTAGTAAAGATGAGCTTCAACCTTTTGATCTTCAACCATATGATGAACTATATTTTTCCTTAAATTGTCCTACTTCAACAGAAGACAATGAAGTAGATGACTTATATGCCACATGACATGATCACGAAGAAGGGATATGGGAAAATAATTAAAAAAGAAGCTATATTATAAGTTAGTTGTATAAATTTTGTTCTACTATACATAGTGTTTACATTGATAATTTTACTTACTTTTTCATGTTCTTTTCTAACAATTTTAGTTTTATGTATGTAGATATGTTTGATTCAGTTTTGACAAAGAAGGGTAGACGTACGACACGACTCAAAGATTTAACTTAGTCATACTAGTGAACAAAAGATCCCTATTGAGCTTGACAACACAACAGGTAATTCAGTAGGACCCAATCAGACAAAGTTCAAGAGTTATGTTGCACTACTTGCAGGGGAGCATTTTGATCAAGGATTGGAATAAGGTGGAATGCATGTGAAGGAGAAAATATGGCAAAGCTTTATGGTAAACCAAATCTTTATTCACAAAGTTTTTAACTTATAATATTTGAAAAATTATAGTCAGTTA